AGTGTAACATCGGGATGAGCTTATATCTTTAAAAATATCATTAATTAAGAAATGACCTTGTATCTTGTGAACTATTGACATTTTTGAAGATATAAGCTCACCCCGATATTAAACTCATCGAGATCTTTCATTTGAGTACCCACATCAATTTTCATATATTTATATATATTTTATATATGTATATATGATAAATATATCAAAATGCATGTGGGTAGTCAAATGAAAGCTCTTGATGAGAGTAACATCGGGATGAGCTTATATCTTTAAAAACGTCAAGAGTTAAGAAAGTACAGTGCAATTTAACATAAGTCACAATATATCAAAATTCTACGTACAAAAAATGAATCTTAGTGTATAAACTTAGTTTAAAACCAGGTGCCTAAGCATTATCCTTCTATGACAGCTGTTTTATGATTTTTTTTCTTTTTTCACATTTTTTATTTCATCATTACTTCATAATTAAATGAGTATTATGAGTCGTGTATTTTTGGATTTTCAACAATTTTTCCTCAAAAGAATTTCTTTAAACAAAAAATAATTTTCTTGAATTAAGTACTTTTTTTTTTATCAATGAAGATATAAAAGTGAAATTTTATTAATAAAAATATTTTCAAAATAATGTTTAATTATAGCCAAAAACAGAAATTTGTGTCGCTACAAAAAATAATTTTTTTCTTAGATTAAAATAACTAACGTTATAATTGATATGGACAGCATTAAAGCAGTAGTTTGAATAACATCTGAGTAATATCACGGAGATGTGGTCATCTTAATACAGTCAAGCCAGTCGATCTCGAGTGCGAATACTGGAAAGTAGAAGCATGCATCAGTGACTTTAATGAGATTTACGAATCTCGAAGTAGCAAAATATATCACACACATATAGAATATTTCAGAAATTCCATTATTATTGGAATTATTTATCGACAGAAGTTGTTTTAAAGGAAATTCTGGTAATAATTACATTTTTAATAATAAATTTATTATTCTTGACATGGATGTTATGGCCAAAAATCGAAAAGCATAAATATAACCAGCTCAGAATAATTTTAATTATTATCTAGGAAAGTAATTATGTATTTTACCAATATAAAAAAAAATTCAAGTATCGTCAAAAAATTTTTTTGGCCATGAAATTTTGGAAAAAGATTTTTTGTTAGCATAAAAAAATTTCAATTTTTTAAAATATTTTTTTAGTGAGTATTGAAAATAAAGTTTGGAAAATCCAAAAGTGCACGCCTCATAGCGCTCATTTATTTTTTAAGAAAAAAATTAATTGTGTAATTAATTAAAAAAAAAAAAAATTATAATTAAGTAATTTCTTACAGAGTATTTTTTATTTTTTTTTTAAAT